AGGAGACGCAGTGGTCAGAGTGTACAGGCTCGACCCCGGCTGACGGGTGAACGTAGCCAGGTGTCGGCCTGTGCCAGCCTCTGTACAGTGGGTCACTCTCTGACGTGCAGGAGTGAACTGGTGGACCCCCGCATCCTGTAGGTCAGCACCACTCACCAGGTTCGTAGAGAACGAGGGGAGGTAGAGACCAGACAGGGTGCCAGAGGGAGCCGCCGGACACGGGAGGACTGTGGAGAAGCGAGACAGGACAGGACCCCCAGAGGGGTCAGCCAGAGACACTGCAACCGGTCGACTCAGCGGTGTGAGTGTGGTGCGGTCCCGAAAGAAGGAGCGAGACGCCCCAGAGTCAAGGGTGAAGGTGAGGGAGGCCGAAGCCGACGCAGTACCTGAGAGCGCAGACTCACCAGTACCTGAGGACGCAGACACACGAGCACCTAGAGCAGCAGCGTCGCAAGCACCTAGGGCAGCAGCCTCACCAGGACCTAGAGCAGCAGTCTCAATGCCCGGATCGGGCGGGAAACACCGGTAACAGTCACCCTCATCACTAATAGACACAGCATACATGGCAGAGAGAATAGCATCAAAGTCAATATCATAGATGGCAACACCCGCCCTAGACAGCTCGCCCCAGCGAGGGATCTCGGAGGCCTCCGGGAACTGGTGACGCCACGCGTCCGTCAGGCGGCCAAAGCAGCGCTGGGTGGGGTGGGCACCCCCACACTGCTCACCCGCACGGTCGCCAGTGCGCAAAACGTAGGAGCACGGACCAAAACCCCCACCCCGCTGACGCGCAGTGTACCACTCACGAAGCTGCTGAGGGGACAGGGTGTCACGACCACGCTGCTGCTGCTGGCGCGAGCCACCACCGGAGCCACTCCTCTGCGAAGACCCGCGACCAGCACCACCGCCACCCCCGCCGCCTCCGACGCCTCCGCCGCCTCCGCTACTGCCGCCGCCTCCGCCTCCGCCGCCGCCTCCACCTCCGCCACCTCCGCCACCTCCGCTCCCACCGCCACCGCCGCCGCCACCTCCACCTCCACTGCCGCCACCGACCCCTCCACCCCCACCTCCACTCCCACCGCCACCCCCACTCCCCCAACTGCCGCCACCTCCACCTCCACCGCCCCCGCTCGCTCCTCCAGCGCCCTTGCCCCCCTTGCCCTTGCCAGAGCGGCGTCTCCCGCTAGGGGCAGACGCCGCACCGACCGACTCAAGAACAAGGAGGTCGGCCGCAGCAGCAGAGGCAACAGAGGGCAGAAGGGGGGAGGGGGAACACCCCTCAAAGATGGGGGTGCGCGGGTCACCACGAGAGGCCCCTACAGCGACGATGCTCTTCTCGGCCGCTAGGAGGGACTTCTCGAGGAGGTCAACAGTGAGAGTGGTGGGACAGACAGAGAGAAAGTGGTCCCTGACTACGCGAAGGGAGTCAGGAAGGCGAGTGACTATGTAGTAAAGAGTGATGTACATGGGGGGGGGGTTCCTGGCGCAGAAGTCAGGAGGGAGTGCAGCGCGGTAGCGAGTGTCACTAGTGCGGAGGTGCGTAATGAGGTCAGTGACTGTGGGAAAGGCAGTAAGATCAGGAAAGAGGTACGGTAGCATGAGACGGCTCAGTGCAGCAGTGGCAGGGGAGGAGTAGCGCGCAACTACAGCGTCGTACAAGGTCTGAGCACTCTTGTACTGACTAAAGTGCGCACGCTCGGAGGTAGGGAGGTGGCGACGCACAGCAAGACGTGCAGCAGCGTCGCGTGTGGCCCACTGGGAGCGAACAGTGGCGTCAGCATCAGCAGCAGGGGCAGTGGAGGTGCCAGAGGTGAGGTCAAAGAGAGAGAGGCCGTCTGCCCTATCGCACTGTAAGAACAGCTGCAGGTCATCTACCCAGACCTCAAAGTCAATGGCCCTACCCTCAGCGTCAAAGGCGAGAACACTAGGGGTAGCCATGACCCTAGACGACTAGCAGCGCAAACAGTGGGGTGAGGACAGTGCAGTGAAAAGGCGCTGTGCTCACCAGACTGGGCAGGTCGGGCGGCCCTGAAGGAGGGCGGCGCGGCGGCTCGGCGGCTCAGCTGCTGGGCGGCCCGGCGGCTCGGCGGCTCAGCTGCTGGGCGGCTCGGCTGCTGGGCGGCTCGGCTGCTGGGCGGCGCGGCCGCTGGGCGGCTCGGCTGCTGGGCGGCTCGGCTGCTCGGCGGCTCGGCGGCTCGGCTGCTGGGCGGCTCGGCTGCTGGGCGGCTCGGCGGCTCGGCTGCTGGGCGGCTCGGCTGTGCTGCTGCAGGGCACGGGGCCGCAGGTAAGGGCGGCGGGGCCGCTGGTAAGGGCGGCGTGGCCGCGGGTAGGGTGGCGGGGCCGCAGATAGGGTGGCGGGGCCGCAGCAGAGGGCGGCGGGGCCGCAGGTAAGGTGGCGGGGCCGCAGGTAAGGTGGCGGGGCCGCAGGTAAGGTGGCGGGGCCGCAGCAGAGGGCGGCGGGGCCGCAGGTAAGGGCGGGGCCGCAGGTAAGGTGGCGGGGCCGCGAGGAAGGGCGGCGGGACCGCTAGGTAGGGCGGCGGGGCCGCGCGATGGGGCGGCGGGGCCGCGCGATGGGGCGGCGGGGCCGCGATGGGGCGGCGGGGCCGCTAGGTAGGGCTGCGGGGCCGCGCAATGGGGCGGCGAGGCCGCGAGGTAGGGCGGCGGGGCCGCTAGGTAGGGCGGCGGAGCCGCTAGGAGAGAGGCGGCGGGGCCGCGAAGACGGGCGGCGGGGCCGCGGAGACGGGTGGCGGGGCCGCAGTGCAGGGCCGCTAGGGCGGCTCGACGAAGTGAGGGCCCGAAGCGCGACTCGGGCTGAGCGCGCTTCGGGCAGGAAAAAAAAATCGATGTGGTGGGCCCTAAGCACAGTTCCCAAGGGGGAACCTGCTCGATACCATGAGAAGATTTGAACAAGAATGAATGAACTATGAAATGAAGTGAGTACAAATATGAAACCCTAATTGGTTGTACCCCCTATGGGATACCCCACTATAGCCTACACAACAGCATAAGCTATAATGTTCTGACAGAAACCATTGGTTTATACGGTAATAAATGTTATGGTTATGCATCATACGTCGCTTGAAAATTTAGAAATCGGAAACATTGTCATCTAATCTGACATACTGGATTGTATTGTTTCATACATATATTTCATTTCCGTGTTCTTCCTTCATAACTATTTCTTCTTTCAGCCCACTCCCTCACCCAAGTACCACGTATTAAAGTCACTCAAGGATCGACTATCAATAAGACAACGGAAGTCTTTTTCAAGTTCTTGTCATACACTGTTGAATGTAAGTAACAAAATGAGATAAGCAGGGCATTACATTGGTTGAATTGAGTTATATAGTCATAATTAGCCAAGTATTCTAAACTGTACATTTTATTATATCACTATATTACAAGTATCGGTACAGTGGCAGTGATTATTCTGATGCGTAGCGATTACCAGTTGCAGCGCTTAACATCCGGTTTTGGTCAGTCATTGGTTCGTAAAGTTGACTTCCGACTGTTCACTTTCCGTCTCCCTACTATCTGAATATTATACAAGTGCAACGCGGTAGTGGTGAGTGCGGAGAGTCACTACACAACTGTCAGAACATATATTGCATATGTTTTGTATAAGTGCATGTAGTCTAGCTGTAGTGTAGTCACAAATGTATTCTGTGTGGTGGTGCACCACTCCTAGCTTGCTTCTTTTCTATTTGTACCTGACATTCCATAGTGCAAACCCCTTCTTCTTGCTTGGACTCCTCTCTCTTGTTCCTAGCTTGTGCTTAAACCCTAAACTATGGTTCTTAATCTACTCTTAGAGCGTGTTCCTACGGCCTCTTGTCAGGCCTTTCTCATATCACATTTGGTCAAACTCGAGATTCTCGTTATGAAAACCGGATTTCAGTCTTGTATTACGCGGAATGAATTAGCCCACCGAACCTTTCAGTCGCGCCACATCAGCAAACCACATCGAAAACCTGAGCTGAACACGTGCAAACACAGGTCAGGTCTGATTTGTCGAGAATGGGGCTACAGTTTTTTTTCTGCGGGCCGAACTTGTACAGTGTCACCAGCGATTTTTTCACGATTCGATGGGATGCCTAATGTACAGTTATTTTGGTTCCTGGCGTTTCTTCTCAAGCAGAGCTCCTTTACCCCGATGTTCAGGCAGTACAGAAAAGCTGTTCAAGATCCACGTGCCACATCACCCACGCTAGTATTTTTCACGCTCGCTGCAAGACTAGAAATTCATCCAATACGAATTCGCCTTACACTGAGAAATTTGTGATCGGATCGAGTCTGACTAGAGGTTGGTCTGATAGGGGCCCCGTAGGAACACGCTCTTAGGGCGTGTTCCTACGGCCTCTTATCAGGCGAACCTCTTGTCAGATTTGCGTCGCACCGCACTGAAACGCGCATAATAACATTCGATCGCATTGAACCGCACAAGTCTGACAAGAGGTCGCCTGATAAGGGGCTGTAGGAACACGCCCTTAGTATTCTAACAACAACAAAAGTGGACTGCGGAGGAGTGTCAAACTATGTTTTGCATAGTTTATGTTAGTGCAGTTATATATTTGCTTGTTTGGTGGTGCACCTTTGATAGTTTGCTATGTGTACCTTGTGTCCTATAGTGAACACAGCCATTCTTGCTTCTATTGGCCACAATTCTCTCGACATACGTTGGCCTAGGCTCCTAAGCACAGGCCCTAAACCTTACGCTAGTACTTTGACATGGTATAGAGCGGTTCCTTCCTAAGGACCGATTATTATGGGCCCACCGCTAGCCTCTCGCCATGGCGCGCCACGTTGTGCGGCCCGTAGTGCGCCTCGTGAGGGCTTTCCCCCATTCAGCCTGTCGCCCGCGCGATACCCGCTGCTGCAGCCTGCCGCCTACGAGCTATCTGCTTCTACAGTGCGTCGCCCGTCGCACGTTAACCCGTCGCCCCGCATTCCGCCCGCACCCCTTCGCGCTGCACTGCTGCAGCTCGTCGCCTGCGCGCTACCTATGCGGCCGTCCCGTCGCCTGTCTCGTCGCGGCGCTCATCACGACGGTCGCGGCGGACGCTATGGCGAACGCCAGAGGACCCGCCAACAAATCGCCAGCGAAATCGCCAGCAGCTCACCAGCTTAATCGCCAGCGCGTTCACCCACGTGCCTGCGACCTCGCCGTCGGATCCGCCGACGAGCACGCCAGCAACCTCGCCAACCGACGCACCAGCCAGCTCGCCAACCGACGCACCTGCCAGCTCACCCACCAATGCGCCCGCCAACTCGCCCACCGACGCGCCCGCTAGCTCGCCGCAACAGCCGCCAGCCGCCAACGGGACCGCCAGCAGTTACAACGCCAGCGACACCGCCAACAGAGACCCCACCAGCAGCGAATCCGCCAGCAGAGACCCCGCTAGCAGAGACCCCGCCAGCAGAGACCCCGCCAGAAGAGTTTCCGCCAGCAGAGACCCCGTCAGCAGAGACCCCGCCAGCAGAGACCCCGCCAGCAGAGACCCCGCCAGCAGAGACCCCGTCAGCAGAGACCCCGCCAGCAGAGACCCCGCCTGTAGCTACACCGCCAGCAGAGACCCCACCAGCAGCTGCACCGCCAGCAGAGACCCCGCTGCAGGGACTACCGTGGGTGGGGCAGGGGTGTGGAGGAAGAAAAGGGGGGGGAGGGGGGGGGGTTGCGGTCCAAGGGGGCGGCTGTTATGGGGGGTGAGGTTAAGGGGGGGTGGTTGAATGAGTGTGGGGATTTGGGGGTTAGTAAGAGGGGTTTCGCTGCGCTTGGCTCCCCCCCACCTCCTCTCCTCGTCACTCTCTCACCTCCCCCCTTTGTAAAAGGGGGTTACTACGAGGGTTTCGCCACGGGTGGCTTCCCCTCAACTCCTTGCCTCATCCCTCTCTCACCTCCTCCTTCGTACTTCTCTCCTTTCCTCTCTTCTCTCTCTCTCTCTCTCTCTCTCTCTCTCTCTCTCTCTCTCTCTCTCTCTCTCTCTCTCGCCTCCTCCTCCTCACTTACCCCTTTGCCGTCTTCCGCTGCACTAGATGTACCCCTCCACGGGCGTTCTACACTTCTACGTGCAAACAGTTCAGGGGGCGTGTCAAACTATGTTTTGCATAGTTAGTATAACAGTTTGTAGTTAGTGTACTTATATATTTGCTTATTTGGTGGTGCACCTTTGATAGTTTGCTATATGTACATTGTGTCCTATAGTGAACACAACCATTCTCGCTTCCCTTGGCCACACTTCTCTTGACATACGTTGGCCTAGGCTCCTAAGCCTAGGCCCTAAACCTTACGCTAGTACTTTGACAAGGAGGGCACGGGGTTGTGCCAGTGATTGTGGCTTGCACTAGTGTTCATACTTCTTGCTTGTTTTCACAGAGAAGTTTTGGCAAAAATTTCACTAAGACATTGAAAGAACAATAGATTACAATCAGGCATGCAAAACGATATAGCAAAAATGGCATGCAAAACCTAGCAAGCACTCCGCGGGGCGAACTTTGCCAGCGCAGCAGAAGAGCAGCTTGCCAACGCTGCAGCAGAGCGGTCTGCCAACATTGCACTACACGCGGTCTGCCAGCGCTGCGGTCGCATGTGACTTTCTGCAGTCGCAGATTGTCTATCTGTGCAGATGCGCGCACCTACCAAGTAGGTGCAGGTCGACGGTTTCACCGTCAGGCACATTGCGTAGGTGCCAGGTAGAAAACGTGTCGACGGTTTCGCCATGTGCTCACGTCAACCACGTGATGTCGTTCCGCAGTTCGAATTTCGCCAGAACCTCCAGGCCAAATTTCGCATACCTCCGCAAAGTTTTGCACACCTCTGCGAGTTCGGTCAAACAGCTCGACACCGCTCAGTTGAACAGCGATCGCCAAGCAAAGCTCGTCGAGTACAGCTCCTTAGCCAGAGTCATCGACCAGCGCCCCTCGACAGGAATCGTCGACCGTTGTCTTCGACCAGCGCTGCCCGTCGACGACGTCGACCAAAGTTTTTTGAATAGAGCTCTTCGACCAGAGCTCTCGACGAGCTCGTCACCAGCATCGTCGATAATCGATGCCCGTCGTCGTCAACCGGATACCGTCGAGCAGAGCCTGCTCGAACACAACTTCCGTCGACCAGCAAGAACCTCGTCGATGTCCACACCGTCGAGTTCTCATCGTCAACGGCGGGATCGGCTGCGCCCAAGCGAGAGCGGGGCCTTACTATTCGACACTCCCCTGCCTAGCTTACGCTCGGGCACCCACACACAAGGTCCACCCAGAACCGAGAGGGATAGAATAGAAGGAGAAAACTCTGTCTGCGTGCACGCAACACATAGCACGCTGGTCACCGCACTAGCCGTGCAGAAGGACACGTCACCTACTGCTGCACCTCATCATCCCCGTCGCTCACGTCAGCCAGACGCACTTGGCCGATTGAGACGAAGCACCGGCTGAAAGCAGGAAAATGCAGCGCCTTCGTCAGAAAGTCTGCCGGCTACTTGGTGGTCGGGATGTACTGCACAACAATCTTCTCGCGCGTCACCACATGCTGCAGCCAGGCATAACGTTGCTCCATGTGCTTAAGTTACCCTTGAGCCCCAAGCCCTCTGCGACCGTGATGGCCGACTGGTTGTCCACATTCAGCATAGTCGGCTTCCCAGCGTTGAGTAGCTGGAATTTTGCAAGGAGGAAGTGAAGACGGCGAGCCTCCTTACCGGCTTCCGTGGTCGCGACGTACTCCGACTCGGTCGATGAAAGGGTCACGCACTTGATGCGCTGGCTCAACCAAGAGACAGGGACCCCTTTGAAGACGAACACGTAGCCGTCCGTGCTCGTTCGATTCTGCTTGTCGCCAGCATCGTCGGCGTTTGCATAACCGACCGGACACAGCGACTCTGGTCCACCGCCGAACTCAAGAGCGGTGTCACAGGTGTCAACGAGGTAGAGCAGGCAGCGGTCCACTTCATGCTAGTGGTTGTCACTCTGCACTGTCAGGCCGTTCCCCAGCTTGGTGCACGCGAAAGCAATGTCCGGCCTCGTCGTCGTAGCTGCAAACTGCAGCAAACCGACCTTCTGCCGATACTCCTCCTCTTTGCGTTATTGCGCCTCTTAATCAAGCTCGCCGTCCGCGGCGAGAAGTGGAGGGTGCACCGAGGAGGAATCGGTCGGCGGGGTAGAGGGCGTCCTCGTCGACGCCGGGCCGTTCTATGCCTTCCACTTCTCCATCGGCATGTTCTCGTAGAAAATTGCTTCAGCCATCGTGACGACTTTGTTGTCAGTCAGGCCGGGCACCTCCCAGCCCTTGCTCCCTGGCGACACTCCGAGGTGAAGACCCCAACGAGCCTTCGGCGCCAACTTCGTGCCGCGCTGCTGCTCGGGGACCATGAACTGCACCATGCAGCCCCACACGCGCACCAGCGTCAAATCCTGCTTCTTCTTGAACAACAGCTCGTACGGCGTTTTCCCTGGAGGCAGAGAAGCCCGCGCAAGGCAATTGCACACCCAGACAGCTTGTCGCAGAGCGAGGTGCCACTAGTGGTGCTTCATGCCCATGTGCAGAAGCATCGTTCGCACGGCCTCAACGACCGTGTACATCTCCCGCTCCGCCATCCCGTTCTGCTGTGGAATGTAGGGGCATGCGAGGTTGTGGAGGATTCCCTTGTCCTCGACGAGGTCGGTGAGGTCGGTGAAGGCTCGACCAAGGAACTCCCCTCCGGGGCCAGAACGCAGCAACTTCACCGTCTTCGACGTCTGCCGCTCCACCACCTTCAACCACTTTTCGAAGACGACCAGCACGTCGCTCTTCTTTGCGACCGGTATCACCCACACGTAGCGGGTCTTCCTCTCCGTGAGCAGAATGAAGTAGAGTAGTCGACGCTAGCCATCCGCAGTTAGGCCAAAATTCGCCGAGCACGGTTGGAGTACTCGCTCCAGTTGGCCGATGTAGAGGTCGTCGGCTACCTTGTAAGTGCGCATGATGTACTGTCACACTTGGTAGCCAGCATCTACTCGAAGTCCGCACCACTTCAATGCGACTTGCACCAGCGGTGAGCAGCACCTCAAAATGACATGAAGGCCAGAAGGTGAGCAGCATGAAATTCCAACCAGAGCTCGACCTTCTCCTCGTCCGGCGCCAACACATCTCCGTCGACAAACTTCTTCAATACAACAATCCCCAGTTGCGGCTCGATGGACTCCGCCCACGTGATCAAGTCGTATCGACCCTCGAGCGGCTTACGCACAACAATCTTGTCAGGCAAAAAAATAAAATAGCCGTACGCCAGCGCGATGCCTCCGTCTCGACCAGCCGACACACGAGTTGCCGAAGTCAGCTTGACTCCACTCTGCTAGGGAGAACTGTCATAATAAGAATGAGGAATGAATGAACTAGCAAGCAGGTGGGTACAAGTAGGAAAACCTAAAAGTGTTGTACCCTATATTGCCTACCCCACTACAACCTACACAGACTATAGCATATAAGTATGACACACCCCCATAGGCAAAGTGGAGGAGAACAAGAGGTCACAAGACCAGTCAAGAGAGGCAAGCAAGCTCAGGGTGGATCACGACGCCACCACACATTCTGAGCACAAGCAAATGGCCACAAGGCCAGTTCACATGCATAGTTACATAAAGAAGAACAGACAATACAGTGATCACCACATAGCAAGAGTAAGCATGCAGGTATATGTATAGAGATCACAGTACAAGCAAAGTCAAGAAGTAAGCAAGTGAGGCCCAGTGGGCACAAGGCCTAGAACAGTACAGAAACGCTGATGATCACAAGGCTGAAGTGCCTTGGTGAAGACATCAGTAGTGTTGGCCCGAGTGGCCACGTAAGCAAGACGAAGCTGACCACGCTGCTGCAACTCTCGAGCAAGGAAGTAACCCAGAGCGATGTGCTTCGTCCTGTGCTCTAGTCTGTGCTCCTGACACAAGGCAATCATGGCCTTGTTGTTGATGTACAGCACTGGAGGAGAACGAGGCGCCTCTCCCAGGTCGGTCAGCAGGTAGGTGAGCCAGCGTAACTCCTGTGCAGCCATGGCCCCTGCGTAGATCTCAGCCTCACAACTGGAACTAAGAACGGAAGATGAGCGGGTAGACCGCCAAGAAACAGAGCCGGAGCCAAGGTTGAAAGTGTAACCCTGTGACGACCGCTGCATAGCCAAGTCGTCAGGCCAGGAAGCGTCTGCGTGACCAGTGAGGACAACTTGAGCCCGTCCTCCAAGCACGAGCCCCATGCCCGATGTACTGCACAAGTAGTGCAACACCCTCTTAGCGGCATCCATGTGCTCCTTCCTGTGTCTCCCAGGAGCAACATAGCGTGCCAAGATGCTAAGAGGGTATGCCAGGTCAGGTCGAGTGCAGGTCATCAGGTACATGAGGCAGCCCACAAGCTCTGGATACGGGCCACTCGGCTCTACGGACTCATCCGAAGGCAGAGCTGAGAGCGAGTGTCGAGTAGGCAGAGGAGTGGGCTGAGGCGAGGAGTACGTGAAGCCGAAGCGCTGAAGGACCTGCTGCACCATGTGTGAGTGAGTCAAAGTAATGGTGCGCTATGCTCTGTCCCGGGTGATCCGCAAGCCAAGATAGCTGCGCAGCTCACCCAGGTCTGTGCACGTGTGTCTCTTCTGCAGCTCGGACTTCACGTGGGCGAGTCTCTCAGTGTCAGAAGTGGCAAAGACCATGTCGTCGACGTACACGAGGACGTAGAACGGCGGCAGAGAGGTGTCGGTGCGTATAAACAACGACGGGTCAGCAGTGGATGGAGCAAAGCCAAGAGCCGCAAGGGTCGTCCTCAGTGTGTCGTGCCACTCACGGGGCACCTTGCGGAGACCGTAGACTGGCCTCCAGAGGCTCCACTGGGTACCAGGAGGAAACGACCCAGTGAAGCCAGGTTGGCGGCGCAGCCTGATCTCCTGGTGCAGGCTGCCCTATACAAAAGCAGGGCTGAAGTCAAGAGAGTGCAGCTCGTAGTTACGCTGAGCAACTATGTGCAGCAGAACCCGAAGAGTGGTCATCTTCAGGGTGGGGGAGAAGGTCTGGAAGAAGTCAACTCCCTCTCGCTGACTGAAGCCTCGTGCAACGTAACGCGCCTTGAAGACAGGCGGAGAACCCGACGGCCGCTTCACCCTGAAAATCCACATGCCACTGACGATGTTTGCCCCAGGCGGGGGAACATCGTCGACGTAGGTGCCTGTGGACTTCCAGGAAGCCATCTCTGCGTCCATGGCTGTCTGCCACTGAGAGGAGTAGGGACCCTCTATCGCCTCTGCGTAAGAGCGCGGGGTCGGGATGTCTGGTGCATCCGGGTCTCCCTCATGGGCAATCAGCATGGACACGAGATGAGGTAAAGCAGCAGCAAAACACTCAAACTCCTCCTGCCTGTCCTCAAGGACGTCCGTGCCAAGAGCACACTCATCCCCGACGGACGGAGGACAGACAGACTCAGGCTCAGACTTAGCAACAAGACTAGCGGCGTAGTCCAGACGATAGGCGGCAGCAAAGTCAACAAGCTCAGTAACTAGGGCAGACGCAGCAGTGGACTCAAACGACAGGTCAGTGACAACTGTGGCTAGTAGACGCGTGACAGTAGGACTAGCAGCACGAATGGAGTCAGACTCCGGGTCCGGACCGTCAGCAAGAGAGGACGCAGGAGGAGACGGCAGGGGGACGAGTAGTGGAGCAGTGGAAGGATGAAGTGTCATCTCGTGTGTGCCTGGGACAGGAGGAGGACGCGGACGTGGTACACGACGACCAGTGTGAACAGCGCGAACAGGCGACGAAGGACGAAGCTCAGGCGACGCAGGACGAGAC